AATACAATTATAGCCTCAGAATTGTTTGATGTTTCCTCATGATTAAAGGGGATTTCTTTTCAGTAAAACCCTCTCCTCAGTTCATCCTTGTTAACTCAGTATGGAAACATTACACTCAGTATGAAAAGGTATTACACTTTTTAAAACTGAAATACACGATTTTGGAGCTATGATTTAAACCACCTTTACATACCTGTTCTTGGTACATAGATCTTCAAGAGGGGTTACTATATGTGTTTTGGTTTTAGATTTTTAAGATTAGCAGGGTTGCATGATCCTTTTCTGCGAATAGTCAAGCACTTTGACTCCTCATATAGCCTATGTGTGTCTAAAATCAGCTGTTCAGGTTTTAAGACAATATATATAATATATATATATATATATATATATATATATATATATATATATATATATATATATATATATATATATATATATATAATGTGTTTCTCACCTTCCACAGTGGTAGGTCTCTCTCACCCTCATTCAGCTCGGCCTGGGAGCTTGAGAGTTCTGCGCAGTATCTTTGCTGTTCCCAGTACTGCACTTTTCTGGACTGAGATGTCCATTGTTTTTCCCGGTATCTGTTGAAGCCACTCTTCCAGTTTGGGGGTTACAGCCCCGAGTGCTCCAATCACCACAGGCACCACTGATGCCTTTACTTTCCAGGCTCTCTCCAGCTTTTCCTTGAGCCCCTGGTATTTCTCTAGCTATATATATATATATATATATATATATATATATATATATATATATATATATATATATATATATATATATATATATATATATATATATATATATATATATATATATATATATATATATATATATAATAATAATTATTATTATTATATTGTCTTAAATCCTGAACAGCTGATTTTAGACACACATAGGCTATATGAGGAGTCAAAGTGCTTGACTATTCGCGGAAAAGGATCAGAAAAGGATATACATATATGTGAGTGCATTTTATAGATTTAGGGATATATTTATATTTGTGGGTCATGTAAAATCTCACAAGAGCATCCAGCACTTTGTCCCTTTAGGTCTATAGACTATCACACAAATGTTTGCTATTTGTATTTTTTGTTAATAATCAGACCCATTTTCTCTTTGTAATACATGGTAATTTAAGAGAAACAATACTGTCTTGTTGGCTACATTTTAAATTAAATATTTGAATTTATCTCACACCTAAAGACCTACACGTAGTCTACACACCTAAAGAGTAGGGCTAGTTCTTCAGAAAATACACCGTTCTATTCTATGTAGGCCTAAATACTTTGTCACATATGTAACCTTCGCTGAACAAGTCAAATAGTGAATTAAGATTCAGCCTCGCTTTGGCAGCTGGACGGCTGCCTGTTGGCTTGTATTCGCTTGGCCCTTGCGCCATCTAGCGGGGTGCCCACTGTAGTCACTCCTGATGGAGAGAGCGCAGAGTTCGCGGAAACGAAGGGGGGAAAGCCCCAGCAGTGCGCTTTGTCTCCGGGGGTCTGCGGTCGATGCCTCGTCCCACCATATGTCTGATCGCAGCTGCCAATCAACAGGTCAACGCGACCCCCGGGAGCGCGCGCTGGTAGGGAGAGATCAAACACAGGACCTCGGGGATGACAGATGCAGATGAAAAAAAGGCAATAAAACATTGCTTCAAAGATGGCAACGGTGCACAGGGAGGCAAATTATTGTTAACAGTAATCTGCAGAATAGCACTCGCATTCTGATCGATTGACTATTATAGCGGCTTTGAAGCCGAGGTAACGCCGGGCTATTGTTCATGGAGGGACACAGGCAGCAAATAGCAGCTGCTTTTGGTCCAACTATAGCGCTTCCTAAATACTGCTTAGTTCTATGCAATCAGGCTTTCTAATAACCAGTGCAATTTAAAGCCCGCCGTCTTCAGGCCTATTAGACAGACAGTTGGGCAAGTCACGAGGAAAAACATCAGTGAACTACGTAAAATATAGGCCTATTCAGTCTAAAGGTTATTACATTTGTTCAGATTTATATAGCCTAGCCTAATATTGCCCTGCATTTTGTCTCGATTTTTAATTAGCTAGATTGTAATTAGCTCTTTGAGTCTGTTGCCAAACAGGGCAGAGACAAATTTGCCTCACCACTAATTTTCCATTTTAAGATTCTTAAAAAATGAGTTACACACATACAATCTATGGTTACACAACGTGTTTGGCCAAAACCTTTGTTTACTGAAATTGTGTAATCTTCATTTAAACTAATGAGAGAGGTTTCACCTGAATATTCAGAGCCTGTCACTTCAATCAACTGGCCTCAAACAATGTGGAATTTAATAAGGTAAAACTTAAAATTGTTTGGAAATGAATGAGTTGTATGTTTTGTTTAGTTTTTTTTTTTATTGCCAAATATGCCTCATCCTTATGAAATTAGCCTATGAAACTGCTGCAATTTAGTCATGATGTTAGTAATCATGGCCATAATATTTAATGGTCATCTGAGTGGGGTTGATCTTCTTAGCTCACTCTCTGCTAATCACCAACAAATCTTTGTGCCTTAATCTACGGCCCCCTGCATCTTTCCGCACATCGCATCAGATTAACATAATGACATGCACTTATCTACATACACATGCACGCATCTATCTTGATAATAAAAAGTTGACTTTCAATATTAACCATTGCAAAGGCAGCTCAACACAAAACAGAGTAATTCATGTTATTCCTCTGCTTCAATTACAAAATTGCTGCTAATTGCTTTGAAGGGAGGGCCAAATTAAGGTCATGTGTGGGTGTGTGTGTGGAGCAAACATATGCAACCAAATTAAAGCCTTAAAGCTGGTGAATGGAAGAGGATTTGATGCTGAGAGCAATTCATGGGAGTTAAGCAAATTAGCTCCCCAATTAGCTGTAGACATTGAAGATTTAGAGAACAAAAATTAATTACATGGATTTGTCATTGTTTCAGTCGACAGAGATGAGAGATTTACCATTATGAATGAGTGACGCTTTATCCCCCTGACTCATTATTTGTCTATTTACAATCCATTTCCTGTCAAATGAAGACTTATTCAGATATTCAATAATTTGTGAATAAAAAGCCCACATTGAGCCAAGACAAACAAACTTCAAAAAAGTCAATGTCTGAGCTAATCCTCTTCGCTGGAGCACTGTGGATGTAAATGCCAACCTTTACAAGTCAGAGAGGAATTTCACTATTGACATGAGACTGGACCAGGTGTAGGCACTTCATTTTTGCTTATTTATATGGTAATATTTTCTGGCCAAAGACAATAACCTATTTTTTACTTTTTCTATTTAGATTAAAAAACACACACACATAACCAAAGGCATGACCAACTGCCTGTTATTTGTTGAAACTGTCATTTGTAGTTGTACATGTTTAAAAATGGAGAAGTCATAAATGTAACTTTTTGTCAAATTTAAGCAAGGTTTGAGTCAATAACATCTATTCTGGAAGTAATCAAATCATTTGGTATTAAAATAAACCAAACCGACTCTTCCTTTTTGCTATTAAATACAAATTGGAATTCCAATCCAACTGAAGATTTATTACAATTTAGTGTGGTGTCTCAGGGTACCTATCTGATCTGGATCTCAAACAATTAGTGTAAATAAATGATAATCTTATAACCTAAATAAATCAATAGCAAGTACTGAAAATTAGTGTGCTAGAATTATGTGTTTCAGCTTTTTCATACCACATCCTCCTGGTTTCTATTCCCAAATTTAAAATATACATTATACAGTTTATATGCAGTAATAGGAGGTGAAGACTTCATTTGTCAATACCTTCCATGCGATTGTGGATGTTCAGTTATATTAATTGGCTACTCAGGTGAGGTCTATGATATTCTCAAATCACTCTGCACATTAGATAGATATGGAAAGCCAAGAGTTATTCACAATGTCCTTCATACATGTACTCAAATACAGTTTCGGGAGTTGCAAGATAGATTTAATGATAGATGCATGTACGTAGTTTTTATGGTAATATACTGACAGAAAAATCGGGATGTTACTGCGAAGATTATATTGCAGTTTTTTCTTTCTTCCATTTTTTTTTTTTTTTGAGCAGTAATTGTGTGTGTGTTTTGTATTTTTTGTGTTAGCAATAAAAAGATAAAAAATAAAAATAAAGATAAAAGTGAAAATTATCTTCTGCATTTGACTCCAGCTTCTATACCTCCTGTCCACATGCGTTACTTTTGCTTTTCCTATAGTTTCATTTTTGATTCTTACTGACCATAGGGAACTGATGTTTTAGAGACAGAATCATTTTGTTTTTCATAATTTGGTTCATGTAAAATTTCCTCAAATGCATTTATTGATTTAGTTTTGTGGCTACTGTTATAACACTAGATAGCAATAGGCACTAACAACTTACGTATTAACCCTGTAGAGAGTTCCCCTAGGGTCCTCATGTTATTCATCATATATATAAACACATTGAAACTCCTGTGTATCTTAACCCCCATGACCCCTTTCCTTTCCTCCTTCATCTCCTGGCCTCCCATGGTGCCCCTCTTTCTGCAGCAGCGGCCGTGGATTACACTCTGTGATAAGCTTCCTATTGCTTCCAACTGTCCAGATTATCTCACTCCATATCCTACGAATCGGATTTTATCAAAGCTTTATTTAGAAGATTTTTTTCTTATCCGAAATAATTACCATTTAAGTGTTTTTTGTTCATACAGGCTCACTTTTAGCACTTCACTTAAAAGTCACCAACAACAAATGAGGAAGCTTAAATGTGTAATGATTTAATGACATGGTAAGTAAAGTTACATTTCGTACATCATTGAAAAAGTGCTTAAGCTTCATTACATTACTGAAAACAATTCACCACACACCATAAATTACAAACTGGATTGTACCATGAAGTTAATTTGATATCGTCCCAGTGTTTTTTCAATCACCTAATTATAAAATCATTACAAAATGAGACATATTGCTGCAGACTTTTATATCTGCTGAAAATAAATCATTAAAAAAGAATGAAATTTATGATGTAGAAGTCTGGAAGAGTGGGTACATCCCCACGTGAGGCTGCAAATGGGACCAGGGCCAGCAAAGTCTGGTGGGCAAGCAGGTCAGAGTGGGACTTCGTGGACAGCACCAACAGACTGGCTGGCGTGGTCCAAACAGAGGATGGTAGGAGGCGCTAAGAGGCACCTGTCCGGCCAGCCTCCGCACCCTTCGCCTGGCCCGTCTGCAATGATAGTCTCCCTTAGAGAAGTCGTGGTAGTTTGACGGATGAATCGCCCAGAAGTGACCTTTGCCATTGTCACTGCGACCAGCTTTGATGAAACACTCGTTCAGGGACAAGTTGTGACGCACACTATTCCTCCAGTTTTTGTCCTGTGGAAAATAATACACAAATGGTAAGAATTACAATTCCTAAGTTTCAGATGACATCACAACCAATAATATTTAACACAGATGGAAGCAACAAAAATGATTGTTAACTAATACAGATTTTTGTTGTAATTCAGTGAAATCTTGAGACTAGGCCAGTAATAGGATTGATCAGGTTAAAGTTTTATGCATTTACCTTTTAGATATTTCATGGCAAAGTACAATGTAATCAATAAGGAAATCTGGCTCTTGCCCCCAATTTGGGAGTAAGACATAATCCCATGAATCTGAAAAATACAAATGTGGACAACTGTGAAAAATAAAAAGAAAGCCTATTTACAGGCTCTGAACCTAGACTCAAATTTAAAGATCTCCTGGACTGGTAAATGCCCTTCATTGTGTGACTAAAAGATTCAATGAAGTTGATTCATGTTGTATTCATGGGTTTTCTGTTACATGCAACATTTTACCTATTCAAAATATTGGCCTGTAATACTTCCCGGTCCCTGTTTTTACCTTTCTGAAATCCATGCTCAATACCTGGCAACCAGATTACCTTATTTGGTTCAATTCGCGAAAAAGATCATCCAGTGTCCTTACAAGAACCCGATTCTCTTACTGCAATTCAAATATCCTTTATATGCTAAGTAGAATTTAATTAATCACTTATAGTTTGACATATTTGATGTTCTGCTGTCATGAATTTTTACATTTTTAAGTTTAAAAACCTACCTTGCTTTTGAAGTAGGGGTAATGGTCCATGATCCACTGGTAGATATCACATAGAAGGAGTTTCTTTTGTTGGGATGCCAGAATTGCCTTTGATATGAGTGCAATATAGGATTGATTAGGTTTTTCTTCAGACTTATTTGTGAGTAACTTGAGGTGGTTGTGTGCTCCTCCTCCTCTTCTTTGGTGTCCTTCTTTTCATTGGTGTTTCTTTTTATGGTATCGAGATTAGAACATTGAATCATGTCATTCTGTCTACTTGTCCCCACCTCTTTGTATTTGGGATCCTGATGAGTTGACAGGTTGTTTAGCATTGCTTGTTCTATAGTGGGATGTCTCGATGGTTCTTCTTCAGTCTGGTTGACTCCTTTATTGTAAAGAAGATAGTCAATGGTGAAGCTCAGTCCAAGTCTTTCTCTGCTATCCGTTTTCATTTCCAGATCACAATTTTTAACACTGACAATGAGAAAAAAGTAATATCTCAAATTTTTGTCGTGATTGCTGTATTTTGTATTTCAATTAAGTTGACAAGATCAGAGATAATGATGAGCCTCTCACCTGTAACCCTGATGCGCTCCACACAAACACTATCTCAGTGAGTGGAAATGACGTCAACTTATTGGACTAAAACTTTGAAGCTCGCAAATCGTCAACTTCTCTGAATGTCAGCTTTTTGATCTTCAATTCAGGAGGTGTTGCACTTGACTCCTTATATATGAGTGGAGAGCTATCCCTCACAGAAGGAGGTCATGGAGGCGCAGTGGTGGTCAAGGTAGGGGGTCTGAAATCAGGCGGATTATTTTGATTAACTTCAGCAAATCTTTGTAATTACAAGAGATTAAACACTCAAGATTTAAGAAGACATTGTGTTCAAAGAGTGGACCAGAGCCAGCAAAGGCCTGTAGATGCTACAATCGTTGTTTCCTCCAACCATTCTGTCAAGCTTAACCTTCGTTAGCACTGTGCAGTAATTAATCTTGTTCTAGAGAAAAGGTTGCATGCATTTTATTTCTATTTTCAGTAAAGTAGAGGCCTGACACATTTTCCGTCACATAAAACTGAAACACTCTCATGTTCAGTCCTGACTCTGGGCACCAGCAGGAGGCGGTCCCTGAGGTGAGATAGTTTATATAGCACTAACATGAGATGTACTTTGGTGCTAGGCCATGGAGTGAGTACAAAAGCAGAGCTGCTTTAAAGTCTGTTCTCTGAGCCACATGAGCCAGTGCAGAGACCTGAGCACAGGACACACATGCTTGTACTTCTTGGTTTGAGTTACGACCCAAGCTTCAGTGTTCTGGATGTACTAGTACTACAGCTGTGTTACAGCTTGTTTGGAGAGCCCAGTGAGCAGGCTGTTACAGTAGTACAGTAACCTACTGGAGGAATCATGGATAAGTTTCTCCAAGTGCGGTTTAGGCAGTATATCTTAGATTTTTTATTTATTTATTTTTTTAATGGGAAAAAGATGCAGATGTCATTGATTTGATGATTTGCTGTTCAAGTCTGAGTTCATTATTATCCCTAGATTTCTAGCCTGTCCTGTACTTTACTTGTCCAGCCCACTGATCAAGATTTGATTGTAATTTGAAAAATTTGTACTTGTAAGCTCAAGGTAAGTTTTAGCAAAACAAAATTCTCAAGATATTACACCCTGTCAGGGTTCCATAAAATGAGTATTAGCAAAAATGATGTTTGTTTGAAAATGTCAAAATGTCACAAGAACTGATTCTTGCTTTATGGGACTGCACTTTTGTTAACCCAGGCAGAATAGCAGCAGGTTGCTGCAGCTGACAGGGTATTAGTATTGTGACTCCCACAGAGTCCCTTCCAAAGAAAAAAAAAAAAACCTTTACTTCATGTGTGTACTTTCAGTCTTTACCTGCAGAAGTTACAGAATCATGATTCCACTTGTCTGTATAGCAATGAGGGTGAAAATAAGTGAAAGTCAATGGGACCTAGAATGGGATTATGAAAGAGTGTAACTTCACCCATTGTCATTGCCATATATGGGAAGGCATATTGTTGGAGGCACTGGAGTGAATGAAGCTCAATTTAGAAGTAAGCTAGTTCGGACACTGATGTTTCTACAAGATGTACAAGATGAAGAATGAAGAAAAGTAGTCCCATCTATTGCTATGTCCAAACTTTCCAGGTCCAGCCTAAAACACGTTCAGCTTTACAAACCTATGATAACATACTGGTATGCCTAATTGTGTTACTACTTTTCTGTAGACTAATCACTGATATTTTCCATCTCCAATTGTCACGGGTCTTAATTGTCTTCAGTAGAGAATTGATGGAAAAGCAGAACTGGACTCTCACAGCGTCTGCGTGATTCTTATTTAAGTTCAATTTTTTTTTATGTTTTGATGAATTTGCATCAAGCAAGTTGTGTTTTTGTCCATGTTAGTGCACATCCAACTAAATTCAATTAAAGACAACACCACTGATTGCTTAAATAGGCTACACATGAATTTTTAGACACAACCTAGAGACAAAGCACACGCTCCTCATCCTTTGGCTGGACACAAAATGCGAACTGGAGTAAAGTGCTCGGATGGGATCTCAGAGGACCATGCGATCACGTCCACTTGGCGCTCAATGTTTCGCTGGTACGTTCAAATGAAGCGAAATTTAAAGTTATCTTTCAACATACCCCCCTATTATCAAGGAAAATCACAATGGATTTAGAGACACTTTGACGTGTAGTTTTATTGATATAGACTGAGGCCTATTTGGGTTTTTAGACCTGCCTCTGAGTGTTTTTAAAAAGTTATACTGTAACTTTAAATGGTCATGACACCGCCCATTTTGTGTGCATCGCTTCGGGCACTGTGAAAAGTCGTGTTGTGATTGGTGAAAGAGAGCTGTCCATAAAGACTCCCTTTTGCGCTCATTGGAGAAAGACTCGCCTCTGCCCGGCTCTCGCGGTACTGATGCACGAAGATGGCGGCCGAACTGGTGGAAGCGATGGCAAGTACAGCTCTGCTTGCTTTGATTTGACTAGACATGGGCTCTCCGGGTGCATTTTTACGCTTCTGTGTGGTAGAGAGCGCAGGGTGTTCACTTTAATCTTGGCAAAAAGAGCCCACTTTCACTTGCCTATCTTGAAGCCGAAACAAATTAGCTCGTGTGGCTAACATTAGCTCGCTTGAGAATGTTACCTCGCAAAAGTGCGCTGGTTTCGATGGCATTCCGGCGGCACAGGGGGCACATAACAAAATAGTGAAAGTTCATTAAAACACAAGTTGTTTCACTAACGAGCCTTCCTAGTGTTTACCAACGTTGTAGTGCCAAAGAATGTGGTGACAGTGAGGTGCACCTGTCAAAACGCACAGTAGATTTGATCGAGTAGCTTGTCACCTACAATGATTAGAATTGTCATTTATTCATTATTGTTTACCTTATTTTTTTTTTTAAACTGGTACCCTTAAATTGGTACCCTTAATGGAGCAATTATAGATCATTTTATTAACTAAACACTGGAAGATGTATAAAATGGAGATCTAAACAAATGCACAGCAAGAAACACTGTAACAATGTAGTGTGTTGTCAATATTCAGGTTCTTAATGACTATGTGGTTGTAGTTATACCTATAGATTAGACCTGCAACCTAAAAGTAAACAAGGTTGCCCCTTCATTTCACTGTATTTTTCAACCTCTGCTAATCCTGTGGTGACACTGTCCCCTTTTTGACTCAAATGTGATTCTTTTCTTTAGAACATGGTGAAGAGTTTTCGGGTCTCAGACCTGCAAACACTGCTCTCCTCAATGGGGCGCAGTAAAAGTGGTCTGAAGCAGGACTTGGTGGGGCGTGCGCTGAAGTTGGTGCAAACTGAGTACAGTCCAGAGCTTCTCAAGAACGTGAGGCAGCTGTATGAGTCGCGGTTCCCCAAATCGTCTGGGTGGCTGGCAGCACGGCGTCCCGAGGGTGTTCCAGTTGCCTATGCTTCTCTCAACTCCTCCAGCAATCTCACCTCTCAGGGTGCAGACTACCTCAATGGCATTTCCAAACCATTGCCCACACCTGCGGCAGAAGTAAAGCTTGTGCCACTGCCCTTTTATCACACTTTGGACACATTACTACCACCAACAGAGCTGAGTGAGTGAAAATGGTTTGCTTTGTTTGCTGTTCCACTACTGTAAAATTGTTACTTTGTTAATCACTGTTTAATATGTTGATCTTTTAATAGTTGCCCATAATAATGAAAAACTGCAGGACAGTCCACACATATTTGAGTTAACGCCCAAACAAGCGGACCAGATTAGAAATGCCAGGTATGAAAATTCGATATATTTCTCTTTTGGTTTTTTTGACAGTAACATGGGTAATAAAATATTTTTCCTTCTGCAGTGAAATTCGTCCTGGAATTGGATCGATTCAAGTTGTTCTAAGGTAATTTCTTTTCAGTGATTCCAGGAATAACTTGTAATGGGGAAATTACAAGACTTACAACTTTCAGTCTGCATACATTCTTAACATTGTGCTCAGTGTTTGTATTTTTTCTACCTTTTACAGAATCTGCTACACAGACTCCATTGGTGTTCAAGAGGACCAATACCCCCCTAACATTGCAGTCAAAGTGAATCAGTCCTATTGTCATGTGCCGGTAAGATATTTTTATTTGAAGCATTTTATTTACAAATGTAAGAAAGGGGTCTAATCTCTATATTTTTATGAATGATCTAGATTCTAGAATAATATTTTTTTTTTTCCAGGGTTATTATCCATCAAATAAACCTGGAGTGGAGCCCCGTCGGCCCTGTCGCCCTGTAAATATCACTCCCTGGTTGCACCTCTCCAGTGTACCCAACAGAATTACCGTCACCTGGGGAAACTTTGGCAAGGTCAGAGTCTAATGTAGAGTCCCACTAATCCTCCTTAGCTTTGTGCCATCGAGCTGACTGGGCGTGTGGAGAAGTCAGTTGCCTTTTGATGTTTAACTCATTCTTAAAGAATATTCCATAAAACCTGAACTACATTTTAAAAGATTATTGCACAGATGTCACAAACCTTTTTTTCCCTGTAATATATATAGGTTTTGTATTTACAATGTATGTCCACAACAAACAAATGCTACTAACAAGCTAAAATATATGTGTGAAGCTTAATTAAATCACACTCGATCCTGTTTGACAGGAGTCTGCCAATTTATTTGATGAATTATTCAGAGCCTTTTATGGATGAATTCATGTACCTTTTATTTATGTTGTGAATCTGTACAAACTGTAGCACATAGTTGTATACCAACACAACCAGGTTATTATCAGAGAATCATGTTGGTGCATAAAACTAATTGGTTTGAAAGACCCTAATACGATGTTCCCCAATCTGTTTTTCAGCGATACTCTGTGGCTGTGTATTTAGTAAGAGTGTTCACTGCAGCAGACCTCTTCAACCAACTCAAAATCTGCTCTGTTGAAAGTGCAGAACGCTGCCGTGAACGCAGTAAGTTGAATGTGGTAAAGAGAAGATGCTTTAACCTAAAGAAAATTTGCAATTGTGTAATCCTTTTGTCATTTTCATCCAAGTTCAAGATAAATTAAGGTTTGACCCAGAGAGTGAAATCGCTACCACAGGTCTCCGTGTTTCACTTATCTGCCCAGTAAGTTGTAATGTTAAATTTGATCATTCTGTTTTTGTTTGTATATTGTAAACGTAACATTGCTTTTATTTTACAGTTGGTGAAGATGCGTCTTGGTGTGCCATGTCGAGTTCTAACCTGTGCTCATCTTCAGTGTTTTGATGCCGTCTTCTTCCTGCAGATGAATGAGAAAAAACCCACCTGGACATGTCCAGTGTGTGACAAACCTGCTCCTTATGAGTTGCTTACTATTGATGGGTAAGTTTATTATATTTGTAAATCCACTATGAAAATGGGGAATTAATTAATTGGTTATACCCCAAAACCAAAATGATTTGTGTGAACAATTAAAAAAAAACAAAAAAAATACTTTTTTAAGAAAAGATTGCTATTCTGTATATTTTGTGACTTAACATATTTGTCCATTTCAGGCTGCTATCTGAGATTCTAAAAGAGACGAGTGAGGATATTGAGGAAATTGAGTATTTAACTGATGGGTCTTGGCGACCAATAAGAGATGACAAGGAGAGGGAGCGAGAACGAGAACGCAGCAACACACCGGAGTATCCTGTCGTTGATATATGTAGATACCAAACTGATGATTATCTTTCCCATCAATTCTTAGCCACTGTTCTTATACTTGTTTTCTATGTGTCTAGGCATTCCTGAGGCTAACGGGCACTCCCCAGCTCACAGCAGCACAAGTCTGACGGGCAAGTCCAGCAGTGGTTCAGTGGGAGGGGCAGGTGTCGCAGGAGCAGCTGTCCCACCAGGAGGAGGTGCAGTGGTAGATCTAACTCTGGATTCTTCCTCAGAGGAAGAGGGAGGAGGGGCTGGAGGGGACAGTGAGGACACAGAGGACAGCGCTGACAGTCCAGCCCCAAAGAGGGGTCGCTATAACTACGACAAAGACCTGGTCACCGCGTACTGACCTGCTCACGAGTGCCCTCAAAGACTGACCCGCTTACAGAGACGGGGCGACAGGACAGGATCACAGTAATCCACTAGATGCAAATATGCCCTCCCTTTTGACACTTCATCAGAGTTTTTTGGGTAACTCTGATTTCTTTCCAGACAGCCAATCATGCACTGTATGGTGTGAGTAGGATACTTATTTGTACTGTACACCACTCATCTCTTAAGTGATTTCAGCGTTCCCTTACAGTGAATATGTGTAATGTCCAAGGAGACTGAATGGATCAAGCACCCTCCTCCCCAGACTCCTTCGGTTTGACCACATCACTCCCTGTATTTGGATGAACAGGTTAACTTAGCTGTGGGCATGGTTTTATTGTCACATTTGTGATGGACAGGCATAAAAACAAAGGGTTATCTCAGCTGTGTGTGGTTGAAGAGCATATTTAAAACCATCGGCAAAATGTCTGAAAAAAAATAATTTTCTGTTTTCTTCAGGAAATTAGTTAATAGCTTGAAAGAGATTTTCAGGAACCTGTACGGTGAGAGGACAAGAAATGCTTTCCACTTTTATTTTGTCCTTTTTCAGAAGAAAAACCTACCTCAGTCATAAAAAAATATTAGACTGACCAGGGAGATGCTTAGAAATGTGATCTGAAGAATTGTTGAGTCTCTTTCAATTTTACACTGGACAATTATTTTATCATTTGTTTATTTGATGGTTTTAATGCAGCTTGGTGCCCTCTCAAGATATAGCTTCATCCAATAATGTTTTGGTTTGACAAAGTCAAAATGCATGCAACTCTTCAAAATTACTGTATGGCAGCCATGCCAAAGCTGTCTGTATTTGAAAACTGGCTGAAATGATTCAACTCAGTCGTAGTGTTGGTGCCTTGGTTTCTTTTGTAGGGACTAGAGTTTTTGCTTTGAAGCTGGCTGTGCTGGCGAGCAGTTTTGAACCCCAGTTTTCTAAGTTATGAAGTCCATAGGCTTTTGCTTTTAGCTTCACAATCTCCTTGCTTGTAGTCAGTTGAGTTTTCATAATGGTTGTTTAGGTTAAGTCTAATTCAACAGAAGCTTGTTCAGTGTCAGGGAGCAGTAAACTTGTTTATGTTTTGGGTACTGCAGGTCTGGACTCGAGGCTGTGTATGTCGAGTAGTTGCTTTTTCATGACAATACAAAGCATTACACTCTGTTTCACTGTGCTGGTTTCAGCAAGTCTGATTTAATGAAAGATATTGAAGACTTGATACATACACAACCCCAGTCTGTCTTAAGTCATCAGGTTGACCTCCCTTGAGACAAGTGGAGGCCCCTATAGTTCTGATGTGTGCTTTCAGAGTAGAAATTGTTAATTATATTTGCTGCAGACAAGGATCCGTGCTGAATATTGACTACTAGGACTCCCTCACACTAGCACTAGTATTTTCAGTTGGCCATGCAGTGCCAGAAGTAATGTCTGGGTGTGCTGCTCTCCGAATAGTCTGTTTTTATTGGACATGTGTTATTAAAGCTCTTTACAATTTTACCTGCTTCTTCCCAAATTTCCACTTCTTTTCATCCGTCTTTTGCATGTTTTGAAAACGTGAAAGTCTAAATTGTTTTTTCCTCATTCATGATCACAGTTTCAACATCACTTCAGTGTCACACAGGCTTGATGATTGAAAAACAAGGCCATGAGAAATCTGGTCTTCCATTTTTGCTCATTGCTGTTGAAAAAATAAAATCAATATAGGAATGAAATATATTCACTTCTCTTCAGAGCTTTGATTGATGACACTTTGCCTATAATACATCAGTCGCCATCTGAAATAACTGATCTATATGAAATGCAATTTTGGAAAAAATACACTTCCCATTTGTGGAATATTTGTATCTGTAAGTAACCGTAAAGAACAGCACCAACAGTTAAGTGTCCCAAGTCGTAGATGGTTATTATTTGTACTTAAAATTATTTTTGTTTTTGTTAATGAAAGGCTGCTTCTGTGGACTTGAGCTTTGCCATACTGCATTCTTTGGTTACAAGAGCTAAATCTGGTATTTTTGGGGGACATATTTAATATTACATACAGTAGCATGGGCAGAGGCTTATAATCCATGATGTAAATGTTTTGTTTGTGTTTTTATATGTTCATATTATGACAATAAAATTTAAATAATATTTTATAAAGTGTTCAATTGCCTTTAGTTGTTCGCTAGACAAATGGACAATAAAAACCTCATGAGGACACCAGCATAGCCAATACTACAAGAGAAAAGGTGAAAAGGGAGGACTGGTGAAACTGATCATTTTCTGAATCCACAGCTCACATCTGGAGAGATTTGAATGCCTGTTAAGGGTTACGTGTAAAATCTAAAATGCTCATTATCTAACAGCTGTTATTAATGTGTGAAATAATTAAAAGTCTCTTCTTAACTTGTCTAATATGGTTTTGGTCTATCATATTTATTTTGTGTAAAAATTTAGATGACATGCATATAGGCCTATTGTGATTTTTATTTTATTTGTGTGTGTGTATATTATGTGTATGTATGTGTGTATGTATATATATATATGTATATGTTATATATATATATATATGTGTATGTGTATATATATATATATATATATATATATATATATATATATATAATGACAGGCATCTCCCAGAAGATAAGACAATGTACAAGACAAGAGGCATTATTGTGGAAAAAAAATATTTCTCAACTTTTTTTTTACATTTGAATGAAAAGTGGCATGTCCAGAATTATTCATACCCTTCTCAATAATCAATAGAAAAGCCTTTATTGGCTATTACAGCAATCCAATGCTTCCTATAATTGCTGACCAGTTTTTTGCATGTTTCCACTGGTATTTTGGTCCATTCATCTTTAGCAGTGAGCTCCAATGCTTTCAAATTGGAGGGTCTCATTGCCATCACCCTGATCTTTAGCATACCCCACAGATTCGCAATTGGATTCAAGTCAGGACTCTGGCTGGGCCGCTGTAAAACTGTAAAGTTTCTGTCCAATAACCATTTCTTCACCACTTTTGCAGTGTGCTTTGGGTCATTGTCGTGCTGAAATGTCCACTGGTTACCAAGTTCAAGTTCCTCTGCAGGCTGCTTGATGTTGAGAATCTTGACGTATTTCTCTTTGTTCATGGTGCCGTTTACTGTGATCAGACCCCTGGCCCATTGGCTGAAAAACATCCCCAAAGTATTAGGTTTTCACCACCATGTTTGACAGTGGGGATGGTGTTCTTAGGGTTGAAGGCTTCTCTTTTTTTACGGCAAATCATCAATACATCATTGTGGCCAAACAATTCAATTTTTGTTTCATCTCACCATAAAACAGAAGACCAAAAGTCTTTTTCTTTGTCCAGATGAGCATTTGGAAAGGCTAAACGGGCTTTTGTTTGCCTTATCTGGAGAAGTGGCGTCCTCCTTGGTCTATGTCCGTGGAACCCAACAGTAGTGTCTGTTGGATTGTCTGCCTTGAGAGGTTGTCAAGTGTATTGTATTTTTTAATAATACTTTGCACTATAGCCACTGGAACTTGAAAACATTTAGATATGGCCTTATAGCCCTTTCCTGTGTTGTGAGCAGTCACAATATGCAGCCGTAGATCCTCAGAGAGCTCCTTTGTCTTAGCCATGACTTTTCACAAACCAAATGCAAAGACCTGCTGATTTTCACCTGCTTAGTTGCTTAAAACTGCTCTTCCCAATGAATCAGGGTAATTAGGAAGTTTTAGAACAATTTGTGCTATTTGGAATGGTATAGAACAGGGGTGTCAAACTCATTTTGGTCCAGGGGCCGTATCCAGCCTACTTTGATCCTAAAGGAGCCGGATCAGAAAACTCATGTCATATAAACACCAAAAACAGCAATAAGTTCAAATATTTGTGCAGAGAAACGCAAATCTATTACAGAAATCTTTTTTAACTGATGAACTCTTTCTTTTACAAAATATTATAATATTATGAGAAAAAAATGCTATTTCAATACAATGTTTTAACATGAACTTGTATGCAAATAGGAATAAGTCAATTTTTCTTGGAAAATCCTGCACTTGGCGTCCACTTTTCTATTTTTGACATTTTGCTGATGAGGTTGTCATGGCCAACAGTCAAAGCGATCGTCCTTTAAGAGCGTTCGGAAAGAGACAAGTCTTCATTTGTGCTGTTCTGGTGGGAGGGGCCATGTACAGAGGCAATGGAGATGCTGCTCTGCTAAGCGGAACAGAAAATTACCAATATTTTAATAGAAAATATGATTAAAATATTTCAGTAGAAAATCAGCCGAGGGCCAGATTAAAGGTCTTGGAGGGCCGGATCCGGCCCCCGGGCCGTATGTTTGACACCTGTGGTATTGAACTTTGGATTTTTCCATAGACCCTTTTTATAAAGGGCATGAATAATTTTGGACATGCCACTTTTTGTTCAAATGTAAATAAAAGCTGAGAAATATTTTTTTCCACAATAATGCCTCTTGTACATCATCTTATTATCTCCTGGGAGATGCCTGTCATTTCCAATCAAGAAAAAACTTGCTGGTTGAATAAAAGTAAATTTAAGTAAAATGTATAATATATATATATATAATATATATATATATATATATATATATATATATATATATATATATATATATATATATATATATATATATATATATATATACACATAGTGTTAAGTGTACTTAACATATGTAGCCTGCTGTATGCAATAGCAGTTAAGTGCTAAAATTAGTAAAATTATGGAGCAGCATGCAATCTATGACTTACTCATACACTACACACCCTACCTATTCATAATAACACACGTTTATGTGCATTGCTTCTCACATACATAAGCTACAAGCAAATGTAAACTCATGAGGACACATTTTTTATTTTATTTTAAAACTGTGAACTTCATTTGTGCCAGTGGTGCAGTCAGCCTCTCGGCAAAACCGTCATGTTGCCACTGGGTGTCAGTAATACCGCTCTCGATTCATTTTGTCGTTCTAGACCTAAGGTTGGCTGTGAGAAAATCTTTGACTTTTTGAAGAATTCCATTGGGTACCACTCAGTCCATTCTATATGTTTTATTTAATCAGAATAATCTGACTTTTTAACTTTTAACCCTAATCTCGCGTTATGTGGATGTCACAGGCACTTGTGATGCTGCACTGCTGCTTCCTGTATTGAGGCTCCACTCAGCCCCACACCCCGCGCAGCACATACGGAGGAGAGAGCTCTTGGGCTCCGCTCTTTTCGACAGGGAAACCAGACCACTTATTTATCCGGAATAGAAGACTCTTGTCCAGTCAAATTTGGAAAGGCAAGGGATCATAAACGCAAGAAGACGCAGTGAGACGCTATTTAAAGGACTGGGGCTAGCTAGTGTATGCTAAAGTGGCTAATGACTTGTAGCAGCAGGTAGATTGCCTCATATACCACGCTAAAAGATATGTGTTGTTTGCTGCTGTTTTAGGTAGACCGGGAAATAGTTAATCTTATACAGAGTACCACGGCATGGTCTAAATTCAAAAACAGTGGACTGACATGCACCCGAAAGTATACTTTTTTGCTAACGTGTGCTAGCCAAGTTACTAGCAGAAGAGCGGTTCCTGTTGCTTTTTGAGATTTTTTAACAGGGACACGATCACATCCTCTGCTGCCTTGTATTGTGTATTTATGTTAGAAGGGTTGTCTGAGAAAGTGCTTGAACACATCTGAATATGGCTCCTAAAAGAAGACCCGTTCCCCTAAACATAACGCCCATTGGGGAGGGACAGACCACGTCTATTACCTGTGATGCTGCATCTGAGTAAGTCCTGTTTACATCACATTGTTATTTGTAGTGACTGAAGGGCTGATTATGGTAATTTCTGTAGATGTTGGTGAATGCTAGAAAACATTGACCATAAGCTGAGATTTGAGATACTCATTGCAATTTAACACTGGTGTATTTTCATTGCAGAGCAAACCTCGAGGCCTTACAAAAGAAACTGGGCGAGTTGGACTTGGATGAACAACAGAAAAAACGCCTAGAAGCCTTTCTCACCCAGAAAGCCCAGGTTGGCGAGCTGAAAGATGAGGATTTTGACCCTATATGTGAGCTGGGCGCGGGAAATGGAGGAGTGGTTAACAAAGTCCGCCACAAACCCTCAAGTCTAGTCATGGCTAGAAAGGTGAATTTTTACACACATGGTGATAACATCAACAAGATTTCTAATGCATTGTAATAGGAGATATATTATGTAAAGTTAACTTTTTAGGACTTTTAACTATGATGGTTATACCTCATCATGAGCTTTCCCAGAGTTGTATTTAAATTGGTTTCTGCATGTTTGAATAATCCTGTATTGTCCTGCATGTAATGCTCCAAAATCTTCTGTTTTCACCTACCTCTGTGCAACTTGCCATCATTTAAAACATTCTGACTCCAGAACATATATTAATAGGTATGAGAAAAAATGAGAAAAATTTGTCTGATATCATGATCTAATGTATGTTAAAGTTTAGTACAAAATACCAGTCCAGTGGACTGAAAGCTCCAAGATAATCAATAAACGAGCAGAAATTTGTACTTTTATGAATTTAAATGAATAATTTTTTTATTTTTTTTTAATTCTGTCTAGGTCAAACTCATTGTTGTGTATTTTGGTTCCTTAGCTTATCCATTTGGAAATTAAGCCTGCCATCAGGAACCAGATCATCAGAGAGCTGCAGGTGCTGCATGAGTGCAACTCTCCCTACATCGTGGGCTTCTATGGCGCCTTTTACAGTGATGGGGAGATCAGCATCTGTATGGAGCATATGGTAATGCAGTAAAGACTGTTGAGGCTGTTGAATACACACACACACACATATATATACACAAATATACGCACGCACGCACATACACACACACACACACACACACACACATATAATATAAAATGTTAAAATGGATATTCGAACCCAAACACATTCATTTGATTGTTTTATTCCATCTTTGCAGGATGGGGGATCCTTGGACCAGGTCCTAAAGGAAGCTAGACGAATCCCAGAAGATATTTTAGGAAAAGTTAGCATAGCTGTAAGTAACACTTTTAACACAACCTGTTAATTAAATGTTAATTAGATAATTGCACTATGATGCAATTGTCAGTATTTGTACAAATGGTTATGTCTGTCTTGGTGTTAAAATTCATGTGTCACAATCAACAATATTAAAGGTTCAATTCTCAAACACTCTTATCATTTGCTCTTAACAGGTATTAAGAGGACTAGCCTACCTGCGCGAGAAACACCAAATCATGCACAGAGGTGACGTTACATACATGTATTGTCCAGCAATGTGGCCTATTTTTATTCCGAAAAGGAGTATGAATTGCATATTAACAAGTGTTCCACTTTTATGGCCCTTTTTAGTCTGAATTTCTCATTGTATTCTGCAGAGTAAGACAGTAGCCC